AAACTTTTTAGCCCATCAAGTGAAGCTAGACCTGTTTGTTTTGGGGATATTCTTTTGACAAAAGTACAGCCAAGCTAATGTCTGCTCACTCCTGAAAATCAGTATAACTCAGTTTCCAGGATCTGGAAATGGGTGTTGTGCCATTGGTTTGTGCACATTATCCTTATCAGCTTTAGAAAAGGCAAGAGAGGGGATGAGGAGATTATTTTGATACTCAATTTAGGTGGATTTAGATACATGTATTACAGTCACAACGGGAAGGGCTGAGGGAGCAAATAAGGCACTTTGTGCTCATGAGAGTTCATGTGTGCCGGGTCCAGTGTTGTACATACTCTGTATTGCTTGTTCTCTCCACAGTCCTAGAGAACAGCCATTGGTATCCACATTTTTCAGATGAAAACTAAGTTTCCAAGAGGACACATAGTTTGCCCAGCTAGAGAGAGGGACAAGCAACCAAGTGTTGTGCCTACCTCAGATTATCTCATGGCAGTGAAGGCTAGCCATCAGGGAGGGATTTTCTGCCCATGAGTTAAACTGCACACTCTCACATCCAACTAAAAAATCTATTCAAGGTTAAGATAAAGTGCCCAAACCAGCTTTTAACAACAGTCTGAACTACAGGTAACACTATTGTCCTTTCGAAACAGGGACTAGTCTGAGCTAGTGGAGTCTGAACTTAGCAAAAAGTATCCTTAAGTATCTGCAAGCTGTGTTAGTGTGCTGGCCCTTCTGTGAGTTCCTTCCCAGGCTCACAGCTCCTTTCTTTCAGTTCTTAGTCTCAAAAGATTGTGACCTTTGTCACATTAGCTTATAGATTTCTCTCAGTGGTATTTGCATTTGCAAGTGTCACTGTGAAAAGAAAAGCTTTGATCTCTTGTGAAAAGAGATTAGTGAGGAAGTTTAGCATCTGGGGTCCTAAAACCTTGGAACCTTGTGTAATTACATGTCTTGATCTCTTGTATAGGCTACAAGGGCCTCCAACATTCTCACAAACAATGACCACCAGCAAAATATTTCAGATCCACAATCCTTTAACCTCTGTTAAGAAATCTGAAAAGCAAAAGGTCTTGTTCTTGTGAAGTTGAATATAAACTCATCTAGTAGCAAAAGCTGACCTGAAAGGAACTACATGTTTATGTTGTCTGTCCTTGAGCTGGTCAGAGTGAATATTTATGTTTGGGCACAGAAATTGTGCATGTGATCACTGGGGCTCCCTGAGAACCCATGGGGATATTGCATTATGAAAATGTCCTGATTTCCACAGCACATTTGACTTCAAGCTCTGCAGGGGAGTGGGCGTGTCAACCAGAGAAGTCCAAGTCACGAGGATGTGAATGTTAGAATGCTTAAATGCAGAGACCATGCTGAGCCAGTAAGTGGCAAGAGACTGTTAAAGGGCCACAAATCTTTGTACTAGAGACAGTTATAAAACACCTCCAATTGTAGTCTCTGTCAGTAAGCTCCTTTAAAGGCTCTAAGTTTGAGACTGGAAGCTGAAGATGCAGAAGACCAACTATTTGGTATGAAGGAAAGAACTGGTGTCTCAAAAGTCCCCAAAATACAGAGAGCTGCTGAGAGAGATGATGAAACCTTCCTTGGTTGGCATGATAAGAGCAGTGTCTCTTTATAATACCTGCTTTTGTGAAGGCTAAATTAAAGAAAGGAATAGCATGGGCGAAGATGGGAATAGGAAGTGGAAATAAACATCTCATTTCATAGTTCAAGAATTCTAAACCCTAAGCAGCTCTCCCCATCATGTACTTGTTCTTTTCTTTTCTTTGAACATCTTCTGACAGGAAGGTCATAATGACATCATGCAAGATAAAAGTATCTTGTAATCCCCTGGGCAAAACATGGGATATTGTACTATAATATCCCAGATGTGGAAATCACCTGTCACTCCCCTTATTCTTTTACTTACATTGATTTGAAATAGTGTTGTTTCCCACCACAGACAAGCTGAGCTGTGTTAGAGAGGAAGTACATGTCAGTTTCGTGATGAATCTTAATGTCCTTAACTTGTCCAGGGCACATTGAGCAGATCCTTGTAGAGTTCATCTGCCAGAGCAGGCCTTCTTTCTGTGGTCTACTGAGGAAAAAGATGTTTTACTCAGATGAAGGCTGATCCTCCCAGGCTTGGCATTTGAATGAAAGTGAAGTTTCAATTGTTTCTTAGAATTTTCCAGTTACATAGCTAGTCTGTATTAATTAGCCAGCTACATAGCCAGGTATAGACAACAGTACATAATAATAGCTGTTATTCAAAAAGTGCCTACAGTGTGCTTGGCATGGAGCTTTCCTCTTTCAGCTTCACACAAACTCTGTGAGGTTGGTATTACTGTTTCTATTTGACAAATAAGAAAACTGAGAGTAAGCAGGGGTGGGGAACAGAGAGGGCCATATGTCCTTGTGTTAACAGCAGAAAGTGTCTCTTAGAAGATCTCAGTCCTTGTGCTCTGGCATGGAAGAATCCAAGCAGGACACGTGGGTGTTGTGAGAAAGAAGAGTTTTATTGTGGGAAAAGGGAAAGGGATTACCTGCTCTATTGGGAGAGAGGGGTTCCATGCCAGTGGAAAGAGAAAAAAAGGGGCTGTAATTTATTTCAGGTCATTTTTATACCATCTTCAACTTGGAGACAGGGGGAGATTATGTGTGGTTACCTGGCAGCCTTGACCTTTGACCTGGGGGAGGAACTAGGAGTGACTCCTGTATACACGTAGGTTAATTCTCAAGTACCCCATGAGGGAAGAAATTCTCATTCTTTCTAACTTATTGCGATTAGAATGGTACTCTTAAGGCCTGTCAGGGAAGGGTCTCATTCCCAAATTTTCCTTAACTCTAGCTGGCCTCACTTGGGTACCAATCTGGGGACATCACAAAGTTAGCCTTTGCAAGTTTTATCATAGCAACAGTAACTTCAAGGGAGAGAGGGGAAAAATTGCATTGCACTTGGCTTCCATTTGCCCTCACTATATCATTAAGATTTAGCAGCTACATCAAAGTCACATGGCTTGTCAAAGAGTTGAGATACAACCTAAGATTATTTGACTCAAAAACCTAGGTTCAAATTAAATAACCTGTTGTTAGACTCATGGTCTAAGAACAAAGAACAGTTTACTTTAGGTTAGGGAAAAGGAAAGGCATATTATTGCCAGACAGAACCAAGAGTAGACAGGGTGGGGTTGGGGATACTCTGACCATGAGTATGTAATTAATGGCAGGTTACTTTAACGTCTCTGAGCTGTGTTTCTTCTAGAGACTTTATTTTCAGCAGACCATCCATTGGATGATTTTCAACACAACTATTACTAGGCCCAATACTGCCCAGAGAGGAGGACAACTGGTTAAATGGGTGCAGGGGACCACATTCGAGATTCTCTCTGTCTGGAGACCTCAGCACTGAGCCCACTCCTTGTGAGTGATGTCTCCATAGCTCTCCTATCCTCAAGCACTGGGAACTTGGTGTGTTTTGGGGGGTGGCCTACCCCAGGATGGCAGCACACTTCCTTATGGTCCCAGTGAGTTGACTTTCTTTATTCATACATTGTCTGGATTGATTTCTGCTGAAATCACTCAGTACAATCAGTCTGCTAAGAGTGGCACTAAAAGCCAAGCTCAAGTGATCAGCTAATGGCCCCATCTGTTGTATAATGATCTCAGCTCTTGGTGTGGGGGGTGGGGGGGCAGGGAGGCCTCAGCCTTTCCTGAGAGTACCACTTATTCCTCAAAGACAACTGAGTTGAACTCATTCTGGGAACTTGAAATGTTAGCATGACTGGACTGTGTAGTCCTCTGCATATGGCAGTCCAGGAATCTCACGAGGATCAGTTCAGTCATCCAAACCTTATTCATTCCTCCCCCACCACCCTTGCTACTGTAGGAGATGAGTCATAAATTACCGGAAAGAACTCAAGAAACAGACTCTAATGAAGATTTTCTATAAATCTCAGCTAATGTATTTCTCATTCAGACCTGACACAAATCCACTCTGGATTTCCACTCCTGGACAATATCTATAATTAATAGCTCTGAAAAAATTCAATGGATTTATAGTCCAGGAAAGATAGTGATATGGGGAAGGAATCAGACTTGCTCTTGTGTCAGGAATCCCTAAGGAAAGAACAAGGAAGATCCATTGAGACTTAGATTTTCTCCTACCACATCTCTACCACCCTCCTAATATTAATGAGGAGGCAGTGCATTACTGCACACTTACAGGATATAATTATGGAAAACCAGAAGCCTGGTTACATTTGGGTTCAGAAGATTCACTTTGGTTTTTGTTTGGTTGGTTACTTTTTAATTTTTACTTTTATTATTATATTAATTATTGTACTGGGGTACATTATGATATTTACAAAAGTGTTTACAATATATGCTATTAAATTCACCCCTTCCATCATTCTCCTTTATTCCCCCTCTCCTTTCTTAAACTAGTTTCAACAGGCTTCATTTTTCCATTTTCATACATAAGTACATACTATTTCTATCACATTCACATTCTTTCTTTTTTAAGAGATTTGGGTGTCTAAATTTCCATCTAGGCTCAGCTATTAAGTAGATATGTTGCTAATAAAGTAAATTTGCAAGCCTCAGTTTTCTTATCTATGAAGTAGATATAATCCTACCTTGCAGAACTCAACAGAGAAAATATAGCTAACGTTTGATCAAGATATTCCATAACTCTTAGCAAACTCATTTCTAATTCAAACTTGGTAAATAATTATTCCAAAACTCTTAAGGTAGGCAAACATTGAACATTTGATACACATATCAAATTACTGCAATTACAGCAATTACTGCTAAATGTGTGTATATGATTCATTGGATTTTAGCTTGCATTTCAAATTTAGTAGCTAAGTATACAAACACACTTGAGAAACAGGATTGAATTGGGAATATAATAGTAAGTACTCAACAAATACATTTATTGAACAAATAAATGAATGAATGAACAGAAGGCAAACTTATGTACTGTCTTTTATACTTCTCAGGTGTTGGAGAAGAAAGTCTCCTTTGATGATGTCCATGGAGCAAATGCAGCCCCTGGAGCTCACAGAAGACAGGCTGGACAAGCTAAACCCACGATGCAGCCACTTAGGTAAATGTTTCAGTGAGAATATCAGTCATGGAAGTCAGAAAGGGGTCTCTGCCATTCTGTCTTCACGCAAATCAGAAAGAGGCCACCCTGAAACCTGATACCCTGTGCATTCTGGTGACAGCCAACAGCAGATGGACAAGCAAATAGCCATGGGTCTATGGGGTCTGCCATGTAAATATTAGCTGAAGTTCATTAGAGTTAAAGAGAGAGGGCAGGCATTATCCTCTTTTGGGGAGTCTGACAGAATCCCAGGCAGAGCTTTTTTTGAGGCAGTAAATGGAATGTGGCAGTATAGCTTGTTTCCAGTATTTCCCGGCACACTTAGGCCCATGTGCAGCACCAATAAAATATTTCAAATATCTCTCTTTGCCTATCAAGGCAGAATTTTAAATAGCCTTTTTCTGCTTTATTGTCAATCTGTTTCCTTTCCAGAACTGACTTTTTGCATAACCTTTGTAATGAAAATGCCAGAAACATTTCTGCTTCTACCCATTTCTAAAAATGAGACACTCAGACTTTTGATGGATAGGCCTTTTGCATATTCATAGCCTTTGTTTATGCTTTGCCTGGCTATGACTTCCCCTCCTCTCCCTTCTCCCCATTTGCCATCAAGATAGTTTATGTTCAGGATTTCTCAAAAAATGGGGAAAAGTGTGATTGAAGTAAAAATCAAAATTAAAATAAATGTCTTGCTCTCTGTACTATATGATGAGCTGTGCCTTAGGTGTGCATGACAGTCCATACCTGACATATCCAGCCTGTGCCTTCAGGAACCCCATGGTTAGACTGCACACATTCTAAGCCACATTCATTCATTCAACCTATAATTGAAACTATACAATGCCAACAGTATATGTAATATAAGGAGGAGAGAGATTAATTGCTTTTTAGTAAGAAATTTAACTGCCTTTTCAGCCAGGTATTAAGAGATATTGTTCCAAGAGCATAGGTTTAATCCTGATCCTATAACCTGCCAGCAGTGTACCCTTTAGCCCTTTACCTGGCCTTTGGAACTTCAGTTTCCTGATCTGAAATTTGGAGATGATAGTAGACTGTTTATGTAGGCTTGGTGTGGGAACTAAATGATAATAATGATATTTAGGAATAATATTAATAATTAACAACTGACAAAACATAGGCACTAATGGATCAGCCAGAACATGTGTTGATGCATGCCATGTGCTGGACTGATGTGAAGTCACCTAGTATATGTGTGGTGCTCAATAAAGTCTCCCCTCATCTTCTTTCCTTGTGTATGTAAGGGCATTGGCATATAGCCCAATGCCCTACACATAGCATAATCTCAATATTGAGATGATTGAATGAAATTATCAAAATTATTTATCTTAAAATTTTAAAATTTTAAATTTTAAATAAAATAAATTATTATTTTATAATAATTTATTTAATAATAATTAAATAAATTATTTTAAATAATTTAAAATTTTTAAATTTTAAATTATTAATCTAAAATTATTTATCTAAAAATGCTTATTACTATAAAATATGACTGAAGAGAATGATGCCATTTGATTCATTTATTGTGTGTAGTGATCTTTGTTAATACAAGCATAAATTTTAAATTATTAATCTAAAATTATTTATCTAAAATTTTTTATCTAAAAATGCTTATTACATTTTTAATACAAGCATAATGATGCAAGGTTACTAAATATTTGTGATAGTAGCATCCTTACATACATGTTGAATATATTCTAAACCAAAGGATCTTCCACGTCCTTAAAGCCTAATTGACCATAAGCAATTTGAAGGCAGGAATAACTTCTTACCTGTCTTTTTATTCCTAGATTTTGACACAGAGCCTAGAATACACTAGGAGCTTAATAAGCTTTGAATACATGAATGACACTGGTTATGTCTAGACTCATAAACTGAAGTGAAAAGGTTTCACACATTTAATCCCCAATGTTTTAAAGAAATGTACCTGAATATTTTCTTTAAAAAGAGAGAAAAAGAAAAAGGAAGAAAAGAAAAAATCCAGGTGTGGTGGACACACACCTGTAATCCCAGCATTCAATAGGCTGAGGACAGAGAGTTAGATGCTATTCTGAGTTATGTATTAAAACCCTGTATTAAATAAGAAAAGAATAGAATAGAAAAAAGAAAAGGAAGAAAGGAAAGAATGGGGAGTGAAGGAGGAAATGAAAGTTCAAATTAACCTCTAAATTCTCTCATGTTCATTCATATTTGTAGATATAGCTAGACTGCATCCAGTCCATAGGTAAGAATTTCCAGAGAACACAAATAGCTTCTTTATATAGTATCTTTGTTGAATAGCTCCTGATACTAAACATATTTGAGTCCATTCATTAAAGCACACATTCAACAAATATATATTCACTGCTAAGTAGATATCATTAAAGATGGCAGAGAAAACATATGTAGAAATAACTACATCATCCTTTAAAGTTGTTACTGAGTAAAACTGCTATGAATATTCAGAAAATGAGAAAGGGCAGCCAGGAATGTAGTTAATATGAAAAGGCTGAGAAAGATGGGGGCTTTCCTCTGGGTCTGATGGGAAGTTAGGGGTTGAGCAATGTCAGAGTAAAAAAGTTTTTGAGCACATGAAACATATCAGATGCTTTTCAAATGTGAACAAATTTCTCTCTCTCCTTTCCTTTTTTTTTTTGCTATGTGTGTGTGAGAGAGATTTGATATTATCCTCACACTTTAAGTACTGAGAGAATATTAAAGTTCCTAGAAATCAAGATCCAAGTTCTCAGAATTAGCTAATGAGTCAGGATTTGAACTCAGATTAGTTTTCCTCCCACTTAACATGTGTTTATTAGAGGGAGAGGTAATTAAGACCAAAATTACAAAGAAGGGTACAATCCTCAATCTCCAGAGAGACTGTGTCTGGAGCAAGAAATAAATAACTGTAGAACAATTAACAAAGCCTAGAACAAGGCAGAGGAGTACAAAGGAGAGCAACATAGCCAAAAGCATTTAGATTTTCAGAGGCAAGGAGTGATCAGATTGGATTCTTCACCTATCACCAGTTCTGATGGATGTGAGGTAGAAACCAGGCTTCAAAGGCACTGATGAGGCCATGCAGGGGCTGAGAGAAGTACGAGTTCAGCAAGAAGACAATAAGACCTGGAGTTATTATGGGCAAATAGAAGAGTTGCAACACCACGGAACAGAAAAAATGCAAATGTTGAAGCACAGTGTGGGTCATCAGAAGAGCTTGGCTAACCATAGAAATGAAGGCCAGTGAGGAATTTACCAAGAACCCCAGGTTAACTTTCCAAGACCAAGGAATCTTTGGGTTCCCCACTGGCTCTCGGAATCTGTAAAGAGAACAAGCCTTGAGCAAAGGAAACTGAGCATTTAGCATGGAGTACTACTCATCCATCAGAAATTAGACTCAAACCCATTCTGTGACTTGCCTGATCATATTTTTATGTTCCTCTTTGATGATCCATTTAAGCTCTCTTTATTTGGAGATTTTTGGAAATCTAGTTTCCATTCTATTATATGCATTCATGCAAAGATATGGAAGTCTTATGTTAAAGAGAACAAAATAAACACTTTTCTCTTTCAGACCAAATGACTCTGCCTTGATCATCAAGTGCAATTAGAAATCAACCAGTTTGTGACTGGATTCCTACTCATGTTGTATTCTTTTGTTTCTTCATATCCTGTCAAAATCAGATGATCTTTCAGATCAGCTCATTAAGGACTGTGATCTCAAAAAGAAGCCAAGAAAGGGGAAAAATGTGCAGGTAACTCTAAATGTTGACTCAGACCAAAAAAAGCCAAGAAGAAAAGATACACCAGCGCTGCACATTCCACCTTTCATACCAGGTATTGGACCCTAAAGCTGGTTGATACTACTGTAAAGGGGAACCACTGCTGCCTGTTCTCTACAATTCTAAAATATTAGTGCCTTAATACAATGCAATACTTACAATGCAATATGGTATTTTTCATTCATCAGTAGTGGAAGTTGGGGAAGGGAGGAAAGCTCTACTCCAAATAGTCATTCAGGGATCCAGGCTGATGAGCTTTGATATCACCAACACACAATGAACAAAGTCACAATGAATATCCAAAGTTAGCAAGAGTGTCAACATCCAGCAGAAATTAGGGAGGACAGTATGGAGGATTGATGGGGATGTTCATGTGGGACAGGCTTCCATCAGTAATAGCCCTCACATGACCACAAAGAAGACTAGAGAATATAATCCAGCCCTATGCTCAGGAGAAAAGCAAAGCACTTTGATGAACAGCTAACTTGCCTCTATGATAACCTTGAATATGATATAAGATATTTCCTTATTCTCAATAGTTTTGTTTTGTTTCCTTTCCTCATTTACTCTTAGCCATTCTATTCACAACATACTTTGGGGGATACAAATCAAATGAGACATGGATCTCTGTGGGAAGGAACTTTCAGATGTGTAAGAAAAAGAACAAGGGTACATACACAGCTGAAATATTCAGTAAGAAGTAATATCATAATGGAAGTTCTTAGACAAGGACCATGGGAACTGGGTCTGTGAAGTGAATTGTAGGAAATTTTATTAAAGAGTCTATTTTGAAGGAACTATTAAATGATGGAGAAAATGTCACCTGTAGAACAGAGATGAGAAGGCAAGTGTGTGATGGGAGGGGGGTAGAACAATAATTAAAGTATCAGGATGGAAGTGTGTAGCACATACCTTGCAGAACAACAAATAACCATCTCTGGTGAAGGAGGATGGGCTTTCAAGATGACAAATCCAGGCTCAATCTCTGTCTGAAACCTATAAGCTGTAATAAATTGTGCTCATTTCTTTGCCTCACTTCCTCAGATGGGTGATAGTGGTAGTAATACTAAATTCCTGTGGGTTTTATGAGGCTAAAATGAAATCAGGCATAAAAATCCCTCTGTATAGTTGATGTTCTAGTGAAGCTTCAATAAATATTCTTTTTACTATAAGGAAACTTCCATTAAAATAAATTTGAAAAGCTGTGTTGACTACCTTCACCAGGTATATGTGCAAATATATACCTAACATAGAGTCCTCCTGTACTAGTATATGTGCCTTTCACCCTCTTGTGCTCTCTGTTCTCCTAATCATGCAGGTATGATCTCAGAACAGTTAATTAAAAGATATGATGTTCAAGAGAGACATCCAAAGGGCAAAACAAACCCGGCTCTTCATAACACTGACGTGGAGCAGAAAAAGCCAAGGAGAAAAGACACACCTGCCGTGCACATTCCCCCCTTTATAGCAGGTAAAAGAGCTTGGCCCAGGACATTTGCAGGAGGGGTGGGAGCAGGTCACAGCCTTACCATCTGGAGGTGCCAGGGGCATGGCCTTTGTCCTAGCCCACCAAGCTGTATGGTTCCAGTGCTTCTGGGGAAGAGCTGCGTTTACTGCTTCCTTTCAGATTCATCTTCATTGGCAGCTCCCCAGGGGCTGACTTTGAGTGGGGAAGACTAAGAAATTACTCCTGCTTCAGCAGACCTGGCCAAATTCCCTGAGCCAGTGAAACAGAAATGTCAGTGGGTCCTTGAGAAGAGACGAAACGTCCCCCTCTTCAGGCTTTCATGGATTGTGCATCCTAGGCTAGCAGCTAAAAGCTGGTCCTCCCCAGGTGCATAGATTAACTGACCAAATTTTTAAAACAAGAGAAAGATGGAGGGAGGAGGAAAAAGAAAAAGAAGCAAAATTATTGATAGCTAGCTTAATATGTATGAAATAAACAAAAAACTCTTACTGAGCTATGCTCCTAACCCTAACCTATATGGGAAACTCTACGAGATACAGTCCTAGTCCATGAGAAGTTTCTGGGCAAGTTGGGGAATATGATATTTACACTCATGATTAGAGTATGAGATTGTATGTGTGTGTGCATTTTAGATGGTTTTGTGAGGAGAATGCCATGGGGAGAAATGTACTAATATTTACTGAGACCTTATTAAGCCTTAGATGTGACATTTATCACAGATTTTAAAAAATCATTTGTATAATATAATAGAGTAGCTATTATCTTCTTTTTAGATAAAGAAACTTAAAATTTAATTCACTTACTTAGACAATTTAAAATCTGATATGGGTGAAATTGATGGGTGGATGGCTAATTGACTGATTGGTTGGACCAATGATAGGATAACCATATGAATAAGTAAGTGAATCAGGGTCAAACACTATTCTGTGGTAAAGCTGGAACTCAAACCCAACCTTGTCTCCCTTTGGCCAGTTTTTCACTAAACTACACAATGGTTTGAACTTTTAGCATTATAGGAATTTACAATACATTTTTGGAAGAAGCAATTTGATTGTTACTGTCAAACCAAGTTTTCCATTATTTTATTTAATAAAGAAAAAAATAAAAGACAGCTCAGAAGAAGACATCATGGCAAAAGCAGTTAGGGGCTTGAGATCCCCAGCCATGTTAGAAGGTCTTGTTCAAATTCTCCTCTCCCTTTTCCTCTCTTCCAACCTCCTTTTACCCATATCCAACCCTCTGTCTTTATTACTTTCCTGTATACCTAGGATCAGTGTTGGGTATGTGACCCCACCTGGTCATATTCAGTAATTCTCTCTCTCTCTCTCTCTCTCTCTCTCTCTCTCTCTCTCTCTTTCTATCACACACACACACACACACACAAACAAAGCAACTAGCCTGTCTGAGCCTTGACTACACAACCTTCTGTGATAATACAAATGTACTGATAATGCAGGAAGGTTCAGGACATGCAGAAGTCTAATCCTCAAACTATCTTCATTCTTTTGACAAGTACCTGTTATTTTCTAGGCATTAATACTGGAAGAAAGTCAATAATAATGTAGATAAACAGATAGTAGGATGTCTGCTGGGGTAAATGCTATGAAGAGAAATAAAAGTAGGTAGGGAACAAGAAAGAAAGAACTGGAGATTGTTTCTTTAGATAAAGGTCTGAGGAAGACTCCCTTTCTTAGGCATGGGCCATAAGCAAATACTTAAAGGCACATGTGAGAAGGTACATGGGGATATCTGGGTAAAGAATATTTGTGCTAAAGGAACAAGCCCAAGTGTCCTGAAGTCACTGTGTCTTTAGATTTTATTCAATCAGTAATTATTGATTACCCCATGCCAGGCCCTGCTAAAGTGCTAGACATACATGAGAACTAAAACAAAGAGAAAAAGTCCTTGTCTTCCTGGAGTTTATGCACGAGGTAGGTGAGTTTAATAACTAAGTATTTAGTCCTGAAGCAGAATGAAAGATTTCCTAAAACTCACAGGCAGGCAACTTGTATATCACGAGATAACTTATTCAGAGGGAAGGAAGGTTCTGAGGGCTCCTCTGATACTTCCCTGGGGAGAATCTGTTGGCCTTCACTATTTCCTGCATTGGTCTTTTACCTCATGTATCAGAGAGACAGTAGAGATGGCCAGTCACAGCTGTCCTCCCTGGAATAGTACTTGAAAAACAAAGCTGCTCTCTAGCTATTAACAGAGACATGAGGAGCCAGCCAATACCACCTTCCGATGAAGGGATTTTCTACACATAATTTTCTTTCAGAGTAACTTTGATATTAGAAAGGGGGTCTGGAGATCTTAATATAACTGTCTTAAGAGTATTTCCAATGATGACAATTTATCAATTCCAACTGTTTCCCAAAGGAGGAGGAAAGTGTTACATGGTGATATTTCCATGGTAAAGGTCTTCCATATAAAGGGAATAAGACCTCATCTTGCAGCAAAGGAATCACATTGACTTAATGCAATCCACACAACATTTTTCCCATTCTGCCTATTAGTCTAATTGTTCTATAGGTTATGCTACAATGTGGGAAATTCTGCCCTACAATTGTACATAGCTTAAGCCAATCATCGACTCTTTTTTTTTTTTTTGCCTCTGTCAAATATTGCTGTCATTCATCAAATGAAAGAAAATAAAGGCAAAGATTTTGTCACATATTTTCTGATTTGCAAGTAAAGAGCAAAGGCAGGTGGCATGGAGTGTGCAGAGACAATTATCTGGAGAAATGGAACATGGACAGGTAGGAGGGTCTGACCCAGCCTCAGTTGTGTTCTCACAGGTTACCTCACTCCTACCTATGCTACTCACATAGTTTCCCTAAGAAACCCTTCTGTCCATGTCCCATTTGCCTTCCAAGACTCGGTCAGCTCAAAGCCTTTGTTAACAGACCCTTCAAGTCCAAAATGACTTTCTTCAAAATGACTAACATCAACAACTTGCTTGCTGAGTTCAGAGGGACTGGGCTGTGATTTCTTTACTTTTCTGGTATTGACCTTAATAACCATTCCAATCCTTTTTCAATAAGTATCTGCTGATTTGATAGTTCATTTGGCAATCATGATTCTGCAGTATTTGATGGGGACTGGTTGTTTTGTGCAAATTCTTGAATTTATTTTGATAGAACATACTTGGTAGAGGCACAAGAATCTTTATAGTCATGGAATTATCTTAGTCCACAAAACCAAATATGGGCTTTGGAGATAGGAAGATCTAGGTTTCATGTCTTGTTCTGCTCACATGACTTTTGTGGTTTGGGAAAGTTAAAATAAACTATAAGATCTCTTTCATTTCATCTAGCCCTCAAAGGAAGACTGTAAAACCTATCTCAAAGTCTTGTTAACACAATGAAATACAGTACGTAAAACACTTAGCAAGGGTTTCAGCATACAGAGAGTCCTCAGTAAATGTTATATTCCCTCCATTCTGTATTCAGTCTTATATTCCTTGAGATAAGTCAAATTGTTTTTGGAGGATGAGAATTCTCCTAACCACAGCATTTCATCTCTTCATTTAAGCCTACCAAATCAAAAAACTCCCTAAAGCATTGAGCTATAGTCAATGAGGTTGTGGCAATAGAAGCTGCCTATATTCTACTACCTATATCCTAAAGAGAAGCTTCTGTATTTAACCCAAAATATTTCTCGAACATTGCAGTGTATATAAGAATGGGGGAACACTGTACATCTATATACTCTACCATTGTAGAATTCTTTGAGTCAGCAAATCTCTATGCTATAAGAATATGCAATTAATAGATATTGTTGTTTGCTTCTGGCTTTTATTAGCATATTTGCTAAAGTACTTTATTTTTTGAAGAGCCTTTTAGTATCTAAAGATTTGGCAGTAATCAAAATGCTAGTTAAGCTGAGAAGGACTGAGCCTACAGCAGATGCTCAAAATAAGGTTCTAATAAGGGTGTTGAGGGGAACTCACACACAAATGCACTCTGGAGACATCTCTTCTCATTAGCTCTTGGCAAGTTGAAACTGGACAAGAATTTACTCTGTCTTCTGTATCTCTTGCTAACCATCTCATTCCCTTAGGTTAATGAGCTTGTCTGACAGGTTTCAACTGCCAGAATGGCCCTTCCATGGGGACTCTTCTCAGGCTTCCTTGCTAGCTCCAGGCTTGTTCCCAACTTGGTCCACAGTTGCCAGGACCCCTATCTTGGAGATGGTATGACAGGGAGTGTTATTTGTGATTGGCCAGATCTAGGTAGACAAGGCCTCCCTAAGAGAGAAAGATGGTTTCAGTGGAGATTGGAGGTAAAAGGAGCCAAGCAATGCAAAGAATAATGCAGACTTGAAGAGTAGTCTGGTAGAAAACTGGTCTATGGGCTGTGTACATTTGGGTAGTGTTACTGGATTGAAAACCAAAATACTGCACTTGTACAAAAGAAAGGAATGAGTATGTCCTCTGAAAATGATACCTCCTGGTGTAGTCTACTAGGACAGACAGTACCTTCACCTAGCTATCCCAGGTCAGAGGTCCATATCTGTAATATGGATGGTGAGGTTTAGATGGTGCTTTAAGTGGGACCTTTTCATAAGTTGCTTGGTACAAGGCTGATTGCCCCTCAGAGACCTGGGACTGGCAGCCTTGGCCTGAAACATACCAAGGTCTTACAGCAGCAGAGTTTCTTAATACTCTTCCAAGGAAGAGAGGAAGGAACGGACCCACTATGTTCAAGACTTGCACGAGTTGATAGTGTCCTTTGGGACCCACAGGGTAAGGTAGCTATATTGCCTAATGGTTTCGCCATGTGAAAAGTGCTTTGTCAAAGATTCAGGTAAGGTAGCACCTCCTAAAGTTTCTTACACTGTCCAACAGAGTCACCAGCTGGGAGCCAACCCTTCAATACATGAACCTTCGAGGGACATTTAAGATCAAAACCATAACAGCTCCCATATTCTTTCATTATAAAATATTAATATTAATGCTTGACTATATTAAAATAAAATACCAGTTTACTTTCCACTTGAAACTATCTCCTGCACCCCTGTAAGTAGGCCATTCCTCTTTAGGAAGTTTAACATTGATTATTTAACTGGCTTCTTCTAGCTCTGAAATTTCAGCACCTTCCTCCCCATCCTTGGCCTAAATTCTTGATGACTAGATTTCAAGGGTACCCAATTAATTAGGAAGTTTACCAAGATTTGGGAATTTAAAGGTTCTTGCCCATTTTAATCAATCCAAATTTGGCTTAATGTAAAGATATTTGAGGAGGAAGGATGGTAAATTTGAGGGCTCAACATAGCTAATTCTGTGCTCTTCTTCATGCTAACTTTAATTTAAAAAAAAATCCAAACCTCCATGCAGCTGCTTAAAGAAAAAATATCTCCCATTGTGTTTCATAAGTGATTTATGCAAAAGCCTTAGTTTTAGCTAGACTCTTGCAATTGTGTTTCTCCTCCAATAAATATTAGCTAATTGTAAAGAACCCATCTGAATGAACTAGGAACTGAATCAAATGAATAGTCATTAAGATCAACACATAGTTTCCATTAATTTGCTCCTGTTGAATGAAATCCAGTGCTGTAGGAAGGCTCCTCATGGTGCACAGCTTCCTCCCTTTCATGGACTGAAAGGCCTCTAATTACAAGAGGAAGGAGAGGAGGTGATGCAAGGCCACTATGGGGAAACAGAATTGGGGACTGCTCCTGGGGATGGCAGGAATCATGTCATGGAGGACTAGCCTTGAATCACAGCTTCCTTTGTCCTTTTATTACAATCACCCTACTTTATACTTCACAGGATGGGCAGAGCTACTCAGACTTCCCTGCTGCCCTTTTCTGAGCTTATCAATCCACAAAATTATACTCAAAATGTAATATTAGATTTCTGAATTTCACAAACCAGTAAACTGTTTTAAAACAAAACATTATGGAGCCCAACATAGGAATAGCAACCTTTTATTTGGCCTAGTAAGGATGCAAAAAAAAAAAAATCTAACATCTCTAAAATTTTGTAAAAGAAAGAATATTTTCATTCTCAAAAGAAGGAAAAAATTGTCTTCAGATAAAGAATCACTCTTTAAACTGTAACCATAGAGCTATTTGAAAATTCACTATACTTGCCTTATTTTCTCTTATTGCTCTGAACTATGTGAACTTTGTCATAAGGTCAGTAGGGTGTGTTTTCCATCCTACTGTACAGAAACCTTGGGAGCAGAACTCAGAGAAAGAAGGTGAAGATTGCTTCTACCTCCCTGGCTGTGCATCCCCCACCATGCCCTGATTGATGTCCTCGTTCAACACCTCTGGGAAGACCAAACAAGGTCACCCAGCAAACCCCCACTCCCCTCCCACAAAAGGACGTAGAAAAGTTTCTGGGTTGCTGGGCTCCTGTGCACTGTGTTGAGGCTGTGAGACTGTCTAGCATTTTAATTAGAGGCACTTAATTGCAGGTTTGTGCTTTGTTTTGCAGGTGTGACTCTGCTTAGGGATGAGAGACCCAGAGTGATCGTGGAAGATGACGAAAAGGATGGCGACAAGATAACTATTTAAAGATATCCCTCCTGAGATCATGTGTAAATAGGTTAGATTGGTTCCCTATGGTGACTTGGAGAAAAAAATAGACTTGTTTCTGCTCTCATTTTGTCCTAGTCTGATTTTAAGACCTAAACACCTCCTTCTCAAGAGACATACTACAACAGATTGCCAGGCACCTCTTTGTGTCTTTCTTATTCCTTGAGTCTGCTTTATATTCCTATTCCTTGAACTTTCATATTCCAATGCAGTGGAAACAGACCATCCTGAATAAGGAGGTAACAGGGAGGGCTCTGGTGTTCCATTGGTGCATCTTCTAGATCAATTTATGAAACAAAAAACATAGGTAACAAGAGCCTCCTTTATTCCTGGTTTGTCTGCTGGGCAGAATCTGACTTAATATCATCCTAACACCTGTCCAGTAGGGCTACCTGTGCCAGTTAAAGAGGTGAGAATACTGGCTGCTTTGAAGAACATGGTCTGTAATTTCTCCTGTTCCATCTTGAGAGTCCAACTCTGGTGACATTCCCAAGATCTTACTGTAAAAGTGAACTGTTGAACTGGGAGAGTCAGCCATCTTCCATGCCATAAATGAAAATAGCAGAAGCTGAAAACACTGCTTCTCTGTCTGAGAGGCTCAGCAATGTATCCTCATATTTATTTTTGTTTTAAAATCAATAGTTCTTAACCATATTGCTCTGATATTTTTGAATTGGGTCACAAATGAGTTATTAATGATAGGTAAAATTCCAGTATTTGTGATACATTTACTTTTTTAAAAAAATTAAGATCAGTTGAAGGTCATTCTGATATTTTTGGTATCTTGCTTATTTAGACTCTGATACACTTTCTTAGGCAGGAGCACAAACTATGGTGTTAGCTAGTCATCAAGAACTTATATTTAATCCCTGCCCTAACCTGTGATCTGTGGGTGCCTGGGTGGGAGTCTTTGCACAAGAACCTCATCCATCAGGCAATAGATAAGGAGAAAGGAGAGGACTATTATTAAAAGGGAGAATTGTAGACATGACAGTGATCATATCTAAGGCTGATAATATGAAAGCTCTGTGGTGTTTTTAGCCCCTCTGTCTTTCTGTTTCCACCATTTGGAAGGGAACATGCTGGAAATAAAACTACTTCTATCCACATCTCTATGCTCTGATGCCTTTCTCCTAAAAATGTTCTTCTTGCTTATAATTATAAAGAACAGAGGTTGCAAAAGAGACTCACAGGTTTGGTTTGGTTTTGCTTTTGTTTTTGTTTAGCCTTCAGAGGTTTCAAAGTGTATGAACTAGCTGTCAACATCTAACATTACAATCAAAAGAATTAACATAAAATTCTAGACTTCCAGATTCTCTTGGGAAAATGTCTGAAGAGCTGGAAGCACTGAGTCTGATTTGAAACATGCAACCCTCAGCTGCAACTGAGGCCTAGAAATTCTTCAGAAGTAACGAGCAAGTCTCCAGTTTTCCATATGCCCCACCTCAACTGATTTCCCATTGACTTCACCTTCTAGTCTTTCATTTGGGTTTAGACCCACATTCTATTCCTGGTGACTTTCTACTTTTTGATTCCAGCTCTGCAGTCCCATTGTGATGATTCAATCACAGCTTTGAGGGAGTGGAGAGTAAGATTGCAGCCAGATTGCTGATTGAATCTTAAATGGTGAAACAGGCCACCATAAAGTCTTTAAGAAGCCAAAACCAATTATAGGTATGTGGATAATGGGATTATATCACCACCAATGGCAATTTTTTAGCAGAGATGCCTCACTCAGAAAACACAGACACACTCTTATCCTGTCAGATTTACCATGTTAACATAAGGGTACATCTGTGGCTATGCTTACAGGATGTACTCAGTAACTCCTAGCTGCTCAGGAAAAAAACCCATCTTTTCTGATTTCTTGGGGTCAGATGGAAGCAAACTGGCTCCTGTAGAAACAAAGGCTTGGGTTCTAGCCCTAATTATATGTCACTGAGCCAAGTCCCTGGAACTCTCTGTTTCTTTATCTTGAAAATGAGGACAATATCTTTCCTTTGCCTTTTTCATAGTTTGAAAATTAAATGAGATAATGTGTGACAAAAGGCTTTGTAAGCTAAAATTCGCTAAGTATAACATAGAATAATTTGAAGACATCATCACAGCATGGACTATGTCTTTTCTACAGCCAAACCTCTATTTCTGAGTATTGAATAGGTAGCAATTATGTGGAACAGACTCGCTGCATCTGAAGAAGGATTTAAAATGGGAGAGAGACCTGTTCACCCTCTCTTCCTGGGAAGGTGGCCTCTATGGCAGAATCCCAGCCTCCATGGAGTCAACTCAAAACGGTGAGGAACAAAACCAGTCAAAACATAGCCAACCCTGGACATCACTGGCATGATCTGGGTTGAAGCCAAACCTCTCTCTTTTACCATGTGGCCCTTTTCAGGGCAGGTAAATTAGAGGTTCAGTGATGAAGCTTACATTTTAATTAGAATAGTTCTCAGTACTTTTCGAAAACTTTCCTTCAACCAAATAATAGTTCTGATAAGATATTAAAATCATTTCAAGATACCTATTCAGAAAGAAGGCTTTAACTAAAGGTGTCCCAACAGAAATGGCAAAGCAGTTGTTCACTTGTTCCTCCTGGTGACATCTACATGGAGTTCAGGCTATGTGAGAGGAGGAGGCAGTAGACATGAACAAAAGATTTAGCCTTCTTTCAAAAGCCCCACACAAGGAGTTTGATAGGAAGACTGAGGACCATGTCATACATGGACCACAGACCATGAACACTCAAGCCCTCCACTGCTACACATAGGTCCATAGCCAGGGACAGAAATCAAGAGGTATAGAAGACCCTGGTCCTCTCAACTTTTTCAGAAATGCTTTGTAGTAAGTTTTCTGTTTGAAGCCTTGATTTCCCCTCCTTGAATAGTTTATAATTCCCAGTTTTCCCCAGCACTCAAGGGTAAGGGACCCTGAGGCTTAAACTTCACCAACTTACCCTGTCTTGTGAGGGGAAGGAAGCTTTTACGAGCCTGAACATATTTCTTTTACCTTTTTTTCCAGTCAGTCCAAACATCTTATGTTCTCCACACACTATCACTGGCCAGATTTTTTTTTAGCACATAGTTGATGCAATTGAAAGATGAACGTTAAGATGACAAGAATGTCCATTTGAAGAAACTTAAAAGGGAAGTGTTTCCACAGTTCTTTGGTCACAGACTAGGATGTCTGTCCTTCAAAACTGAGCATCTGAGAAAGACTCCTCCATGTCCTGGATGGTGCTATTACAACCTCTGGGTGCAAGTTCTCATGTGTTCTGGGGAAGCACAGTTCCATTCCTGCTCTTCCCAGGACATGCTGTCTTTCCTCTGCTGATCCAAACTCAGAAATCTGACAATTTGCCAAGGCATAAGAAAGATGCCCACTCTGTATTTTAAGTCATACAATAAGAATAAGACATGATAGAGCATATACTTAGCAGTCTTGGGTTCAATCCCCAGCACCATAAGAAGGAGAAGGAGAAAGGAAAAAAGAAGGAAAGAAGGAAGGAGGGAGAGAGGAAGGGAAAAAGGAGGTAGGGAAAAATAGAAGGTGAAAGAAAGGAGGAGCAGAAGGAGAGGGAGAAGAAGAAGAACAACAACAATGACAAAAACAAGAAGAAGAAAAGGAAAAGCAGCCAAGCATTGTGCTTACTATGCTCAAGACATTTTTTGCAAAGACATAGAACATACTAATTTTAATATACCCAATTTTAAATTACATAGTACTAAAATTATCTCATTTCTCTCTATATTCATAACTAACAGTAAAAGAATATTTAATGTTTTCATAAAAAATTTTAAAGATCACAGAACAATGTAATTTTTTCCTATTGCATATTAAGATTACTGCTCATGGTTTTAACTTGCATAGTTACATTTATGGTTCCAAACTACTATGCAAAGCAAAGTTTGCTTGTCTTTAGATCTTGGTTCCAAAAGAGTGTGTGGGTTTTTGTTACAGGGAAGGAAAGAAAGAAGGGAAGATAGGAGTGATTACTATTATCAGTCCACAGAGATGACATGAATTAGAACCCAGAGAATAGGGTCCCAAGTTGGAAGCCAGAAAATTAACTAATCGGGCTAGATGGCAAGGTAGGAAAACAAACTGATTAGAAAGCAGATATCATCATTAATAAGAAGGTTGTTGATGCAGTTGATATACTAGTTCTAAGACCAAATGCTCCCGAGGCTTTGCTTTTATTCACAGTGGTAGATGAGACTGTCCCTTATTAAAGGATCTATCATGCTTGCAGTCTTAAATTCTCTTCAAGCAGAGGGAAATAAGATGGGTCAGTTCAGAGACCTGAAATATATGTCGGGGTCTATCTAAAGTAGATGGAGAAGCAAAGAGGAAAAGGTCACAACCAAATTGCTTTCAAACTGATGACTTAATGCCAGGATATGAGGAAAGATGACATAGTGAGATAGCAAACAGCAAGGATTTCTTAACTGTGTGGTTCCCCTGTGTTTCAGGATTTGACCCACGCCATGCAGTAATACCAACCTTGGACTCAGAGTGTGCTCTCTTGTCAGATGCTTGGTCCCTCAGCATCTCTTGGACTTCACAGTTGTGGATATGGTAGGGCAGAGAGAACACCTCCCCATCCAACATCTTAGAATACTGATCCACAGGTTGCATCTTTACCTGGAACCTCTAGTAATGGACAGAAGGATGGCACAGGATTGAGACTGGAAGGAAGACTTAGTCAATGGAGATGAAAGAATGGGTCCACAAGGAGTTTGATAGGAAGACTGAGGACCATGGCATACATGGACCACAGATCATGAACACTCAAGCCCTCCACTGCTACACATAGGTCCATAGCCAGGGACAGAAATCAAGAGGTATAGAAGACCCTGGTCCTCTCAGGATATAAGAACTCAATTTTATTATCCTATCTGAGTGAAAAATGAGACCTCATCACTTTCTTCCTGGAGTTTGGACTAATGGTTCAATCACATCAGAAGGGAAAGAGACCCAAA